CGATAAATCAATCTTATGATTGGCCATTTGCGTGTCCAATCAGGACTCGTAACACCGGTCGCGCTTCTCTGATAATCTAGGACTCTAATCCATATATGTCCACACATGCAGCCTATTGACGCGACGTATGTATGCATGTATATACATACATACATACATATGCATACATACGCCGTACGCGGTCGGTAACGGCCGTACGAATAGAACGGCGGGAGCGCGGAGCAAAGCGCACGTTCTCGGGAGTTTCGGCACACGTTATTTATGTCATTACGTTATTCACATTCACGTTAACCTCCGCAGTCGAAAGATGGCGGACGACGATGTGAACGGGGATTCAGACGACGTGCAGCAGGAGAAGTCGCAGAAGAAAGCGGCCAAGTATGACAGTGGTGCGGCGGATTTGGAAAAGGTGACGGATTACGCCGAAGAGAAGGAGATCTCGTCGTCGGATGGATTTTCTTGTGTGAGTACTCGCTTATAATTTAGGATAACCTAAAATTCAGTCCGTTCCACGCACGCGTCGTCCGCACATTGCTTAATCCTAAATACCCAACACTCTAAAGTCTAAAGTTAACTCGGTTTTCACATTAAAAAGAATGTCTAACAGGCCCTCAGCATAATCGGTGATCGTCGTGACAAGGAGGCCGCGGAGAAGAAGGCGAAAGAGAAGGAGCTGCTCAAAGTATCCATTAAGAAGGAAGATGTCGATTTAATCGTAAGTACATACTATTTTTCACGTGTAATTCTGCTCTTCTGTTGTGTGTAACATATAATCCAAGCCGGCTAAAGCTTGTTTTTATCAATGTGAATTAACTTTAATCTCGATTTACCTTATTCTTTATCTTTCTAATGTCTATTTCTGTCAATGTAAATGAACTTCAATCTCACTTTAGTTTACTGTATTTTTTTCTAATTCTTACAACTAAAACAAGATAAACAGTAAGTTAAACCGAGATTAAAGTCAATCTACATTAAGGTAGAAATGGAACGTAAGAGAGATTAACAAACATCTTTCTTTCAGATGAAAGAGATGGAGATTAGTCGGATTTTGGCCGAACAGACTCTCAGGGAACATAGAGGTGACATCGTAGAGGCATTAATTACGTTAACCAATTAAAATTGTACAAAATGAAATTATTCGAGATCTCGTATCGCATCTCTGAAAATTCCATTGTAAAAAATATTGAATCGTGAAACTTTTGCTTATTGATATTTACTGATACGTATATTACATTGTAAGCAAGTAATATCTATATTTTCGTCGTTTTCTCTCATGAATCTGCCTACTTATTAAATAAAACGCGCAGTGCTGTGCTAAGTAAACGATAACGGTAATGTATTGTAATAATTATATATATATATATAAAATATATGTGCATTTATATGTGTAGCAGGAGTAATTCATTAAAGATAATACAGTCTCATGTTATCGTCAAAATTGGAAATGTAAGAAGTCATTGCCACGATCGATATGAGGAAATATCTGTTCCTGTCCGAAGCCTGTTGATTACCAATGTTATCAGACATTCATCATATTGATAAGATTAATGTGAGCAAAAGTGTGAGACTTTGAGATATAAGGAGTTCAGAAGTACATTTGCATTGACTGCCGATTTACATTATCTCAACGTGTTTGTTCTCGTCAAGTTTTTTTCCCGCAAGTTGTTGCATCACTGATATCAGCTAGAAACGTAAAATCAGTCTCTAATTATGTTAGAGCGTGTGAAATTTGGATAACAAATGGCTGCTTATTTACTTATTAATAAATGTGACATCATGAATTTACTCTTACTCGGATATTTAAGCTTTTGCGTTGCAACAAGTTTGACCGAGAACTCAGGTATGTTAGCATTATATTCGAATGCGTGTACATGTAATGCATATAATTTCTGGTTTTCTTATACTTTAATATTTTCAATTTTTTCATCGTGTTTCAAAGCAAGTTATGTTTAAAGAATAAGGATAGAATGCCACTGATCTTTTAATGGAATGATTTTTGCACAGTATAAAATCTATATTTTAACAGAATGGAACACGAGATTTCCCGAAATTCCAGATAGGTACGTTGATTTTGATAATTGTACACGATGTGACGTAAAGCGAGAATCGTCATGCTTCTGCCATGAATATGTTGGTAAGTTAATATTAAGAATCTTCGCGTGTAGTTGCAAATTACAATTTTTTTAAATTATTGTACATTCCATCGTAAAACGCTAAAAATATATTACTGCTCAATGATACGAAACACATTTATTTTTTACGTATATAAAATATACATTTCAAAGTGTCATTCAAAATGGAATAAATAATTTGTAATACGGATACACACATGCATATATTACAATTATTATTAATTTTGAACTAAAGTATATTCAATGATATTTATTACGTATGCGTTTGTATCAGGAATTTTTTTATTTCTAATAATATTTTGAAATATGTATATTTAGATACATTTATCTCTTTCTAAATTAATTAGAAGCAAGTTAAGATATCTTTCGTTATTTTCGAAAAATTGTGGAAATTATCAAAAAAATATAGTCAATGAAAAATATATTCAATGATAATGGAGAGCTAAGGAGAATTAAATTTGATTCAAATTTTGCGAATTCTTTTAAAGAAAAGTCAACTATAGATAAAGCACGAAATTTGAATTGAATTGAGTATGCAAACTAAACGCGATTAATCCTGCGCAGACTTTTATTATATACTAGATTGCTAGCTCCCGGTTGAAAAGTGAAATTTCAAGCAGTAGTGGGAGTAGTTTTCGCTTGATAGGTAAATAAAGTAGCATGTGTTTGTCTGTGATACAACAATAGACACCTTAGCTATCTTAATTATCTATCAAGACATATGGATAGCGTTTTCTCTTGGCTGCACTAGTACACCGACGAGATACTCTTAAAGACCGACAGCCCTGGGCAAATTTTCGTGCCAGCAAATGGGCCCGGAGGTAATTGCAGAATGTCGATCTTATCAACTTTTGACATAAATTTGCAATTTATTTGAATAATACATTATTAAGATCATAATTTTTATTATATAAATGCTTTATAAATAAGTATGAATACTTATAATACTATAAGATCGGAAGAGCACAC